ATGTGTTTAGTTTTCATTTTTGTTAATTTATGCATTTCCAGCTTCGCTTCAACTTAAAAGGCTTACAACGTAGGTGAGTTGTTACTAAATCTCTGTGCCAAGTCCCTGTTCATCATCTTAACATTTTTAGTCTTCATGTTTTTTTTAAAAAGTTGCCCATCTCTCTGCGTTTAAACGTATCTCCTCTCCCCTTTATTCCTTTTTGTACATTTCATCTTATACAAAGCAGGCATGTGGGAAATACTCCTAAAAACTAAACTTATTAAATTTTTACCCTTGTGTTCCATATGAACAGGAGTATAGATTTTTTCTTTGTTACTTTTACTCAGGGCGAAAATCAGTGTTGATACAAACCCGTCTGTCCAGCATAGGTTTTCACTAGTCCTACCAAGTTTTCCTCAAATCCATTTTTATTCCAGTGTGGTGTGTTCCAGTACTACAGCAGTAGGTGATCTCTGTGGAGCTGAGGATCATTTTTCAGGTTCCCCCACAACATGTGGGCTGCACTTCAAGGGGATGGGGCTAAAGGAGGATGGATCAAAAATGGTTATTTGCATATTTAACATACTAGTAATATTATTTGAATTCACTTCCATTCTATAATAGTGGAAGTTTGTTAGTGAAAAGGGGGTTTAAACTTTTTTAATGACTAGTTTTTAAATTAAAAGCACAATTTTCAGTGTCATTTTTTTTTAAAAAAAGAATTGTTCCCACACACTTAATAGGGTATTGAAGATACTGAGTGGGTTTTTTAATTTTGTTTTGTTTTGTTTTGTTTTTTGGTGGGTGCTGGACAGCCACAGGGTGCACATTGCCTACCCAGCTTTATGGTGTGTCAACCCACCGGTAATATTCTTCTCCATGATATCCTGTTCGGATCCATTCCCTCTCCTCTTTGGGATTCCATTTTTCATTGTAGATGCTTCTGTGGTCACTGAGCATCCTGGGTTTCCATCCAGTTTATGTTTAGGATGTTATGCTGTTTTATTTTTTGCCCATAAAGATTGGAGTGCGGAGTTAATTCTGGAAACACTGAGACTCCTGCCGGCTTGTTGATACCTCCCCACAGTGTTTCTCATTGTTTCCCAGTGGACTTGTTTCTACAGTAGTTGTGAAGCAGTTCACTGCCTGAGGTAAAATACATGCCAATAAAGAAATGATGGCTACTGGGGAAGGAGGCTTCAGGCATCATAGTTATTTTTTAAAGAGTTTCCTCTATTGATTCTGCCAGCCTTTTGGGCTAGCAAGTATTCTCACTTTTCCAGCCTTCCTTGCATGTAGCAACCATATTTTGCAACTGATAATATGGAACTGATTCCATGATTAGATGAGCTTTTGTGTGTACTGTAGCTCATTGCTTTTGAATCACAGCTCTTAAGCCTTTGAGCCTGTTAGCAACATGTGGCAAGCTCTTTTTGAAAAGGGGCATATTTCAAAAGCAGTTAGTTTTTAGGTTACTCTGAAAAAAATGTAGAATCTTTTCAGACAGATTTTAAATCTAGTATAAAGAAGATACCTAATCTGGTCTAGTAGATAGAGTGGTGGACTCAGACCCTGGAGAGCAAGGATTGAATCCCCACTTGGCCATGGAAACTCACTAGGGGAGTGGAACTGATAAAACTACTCCTTAAATACCTCTGTTAGGGCCACTATAAGTTAATTTCGACTTGATGGCAATTAACAACAGCAACATTGAGTTAAACATTGTAATTGACTTCTTCAGATGCAAAAGTGGAAAACTTCATATCAAGCAGTACAAGCCAGTTTATGATAATGCATCTTCTTGGTAATTTTAATTTAATTGCAACCTGTGATATAAAGCAGTAGTTCTTAACCTTTGTAACTTGGATATTTTTGAACTGCACCTCCCAGAAACCCCAGCCAGCACAGTTGGTGGTGAAGGCTTCTGGGAGTTGCAGTCCAAAACTCCTGAGCAACCCAAGGTTAAGAACCAGTGATATAAAATACACAAAGAAACCAGGGATGTATAATGGGAACTGGTCTATTTAGTCTCCATAATGGGAAGAGAAATTGCATTTTCCACAGTCAAATGTTTGTGTCCTGGTGCCTTATGTACCATGTAGGTATCAGAGTTCAGAATCTCTTGTGCACAGTTCTGAGATATGTGTGTCACCACGTAAATTTTAGAGCAGATATGTGCTTATTAATCCAGACAGGTTACTGTTCTCTCTCTACCCCATGTTGTTTACCATCCTAACTTTGACTTTTGTACATCTGGACGTTCCAGTGTGTCACTGTGTTGTAACATTCTCTCCAAAAATACTTCTAGTTGTGGATTTCTTTTAATTTGAACCTGTGTGGAGGAGGGGAAGGAGCAAAATTAAGGAAAGTTGTATTTAATATAGATGCTGGGTAATTTTATCTGGTTTTTCCTCAACTGAATAAGTCTTCAAAGAACATCTTTAAAATTTTGCTTCTACTTAGTGAAATTCATGTGCTTGCATGAATAATTTAAAAAAAATATTTTTCAGATATTCAAACAAAATCCCATTTGTATTTAAAGTTTAGTATTTGTGTCTTGTAGTTCCCGTTGACATCATTCATAGCAGCTAATATAGCCTTTTCCAAGTGCTATGTGAAGGGGTTTTGTCATTCACAGGTAGTTCAGAAAGTAGATTTTCATTTCTTCTCCAATATATCCCTGAAGAAGATATGAATCATCACACTAAATCGACATTTGCTACATGAGTGTATCCACACATGTTATATTTTCCCATGGAAAGAGACATTAAAAAACCTTTGCAGATCAATAGAGAACCAGACAGGATCTCCATGCAATCTCAATTCTAGTCACAACATAGGAAACTGCCTTATGTTGAGTTATCTGTTTGCATTTTTACATGCTTTCGAACTGCTAGGTTGGCAGGAGCTGGGACAAGTGATGGGAGCTCACTCTGTCGTGTTGATTCAAACTTTTGACTGCAGGTCTTCTGACCCTGCAGCACAGAGGCTTCTGCAGTTTAACCCACAGCACCACCACATCCTCCGTATAGGGTAGATTGCCTTTAAGTGGTCATTGTGGAGCAGCAGCCAAGGGATAGACTGCTGTGTCCTTGTACAATAGGTTCTAACTATCAGGCCAAGCAAAGACATTGAGCAGATAGTTGTATTGGAGCATACCTGTGTGAATGACTCTCTTCCTCTTTCCCATTACTTGTCAAGCTTCCAGAGGGCAGATGATCTTGCCATACCGTCTGGCTCAACCCAGGATAGTGGAAGATTGTTGGGGACTCCTAGGGTCCATGTAGTGCTATATTATGGCTTGCTATGCCAGGATAAAATGGGTGCTCCTCTGGCTGAATGCTGCTGCCCATTAGTGTGCTATAGGTTATGGCCAAGAACTAGATCTGTCCCTTCGGTGAATATTTTTCTGAACTGGGGTACCTTTTGTTTGTGTATGATGAAACCAAAGTGCAGAATTAAATGCTTCTGCAGAGTATTAATTGGGTCATCCCTTTGTTGTGAAGCAGGAAATGCAATTCCTAAATTTTCTCTGAAAGATACTTAAAACATTTCCACTGAGGAAAATTTCTAAATTTCAGTCTCTCCTTTTCCTCTCACCTCACAGTTAGAACAGTTTAGTTCTAAGTAGTCTGACAAATATATTTATATAGGTAGGAAAATTTTTATATAAAATCACGTTCCATTAACTTCACTTTTTATAAAACCTGAAAGGAATTCAAAAAAATTTCAGACATCTAGTGCACAAAACTACCAGCAGTGGGATGAAAGCTTTGACTTCTTTTCTTATAGGGATTTCCGTGTGACTGTGATCTTTCATCTCTACAAAGAGATCTAGCATAGTAAATTAACATCATGCTGTGGGGAAAAACCTGGTACTTATTGATCTGACATTTGTCTTCTCTTTATTTACTTAAGCCTCTATTTGCTAAATGGAGAGTAAATTTCAATCACTCCCTTGTGATATTTATTTGTGTTTGGGTGCCGTTTAGATTGCTTAGTTTGCCATTTTAATTTCATTACATGTTTTAGGGAAGCTGACTTGTTTTTCTTCCAACAATGTATTCTGCATATGTTAGAAAAGGTTTACTAAGCTTAATGAACTCTGCAAACCAAAGTTATTCCTATTGTATCATAGAGCCACTCTTAATCTTTACAGCCTCTTTAGGCCATCCATTTCTGAAGCACTTTGACTTCAATACCAAATTCATTTTCTTTCAAATTTTGCTGTTCAGAGTGTTTCAGCTTTAGAGGGACTTGGATCTGGTACGAAAAGAGTATGTAATTGTTTACATGTGCAATGTCAATTTATATGTTGCAACAAAAATTGCATAATGAATGTCACTGAAGCTGGTTCAAATTTACTGTGTTTCTAAAATAATGACAGTTATTGTTATATAGCATTAAAGTGGTGCAAGAACCTGCAAGGAGAAGCTATTACCAAAATCAACATCCATGATGGAAAAAACGATCGTGTTACCCAGGAAACTGATGTTTTTAGCTTTAATATTTGAATAATACTGAAGATCAGGATAATGTGGGAGGAGCTCATTCTTTGGTTCTTTTTGTATCGATGTTACTTCTGTTCTCCAAAGTATAATTGTGGCACTGAACAGAACCACAATAGCTCCTTTTCCTTGTGATCTTTGGTTTTCAATAATACCAAGTGGTGCAGAAAATCCATATTGTAGCTGCACCACATTGCTAAAAATAGTTACAGAAAGGAGTTTTAGTGCCATCGTTACCAAATACGTGTCACAAGGTGTAAATAAAACTATTATGTTCTGGTCATTCTTTAAAAAAAACCCAGTAATTATTAATTCACATGTGTACAGTTTAGTTGCACATATTTTAAACTTCTTTTCTTTGGGGGAATAGATTTCATGGAAAAAATTGATTTTTAGGAGGTTTATCCAAAAAGAGAAAGACAGCACCTGATATGTTTTAGGAACATGGAGTTTGAAGAGTTAAGGTAGAGCACATAATAAGACTTGGTTTTTGCTTTACTTTCTTTTTAGGCCTAACTCCGCCTACAACCCCTCCTCACAAAGCCAATCAAGACAACCCTTTTAGGACATCACCAAAGCCAAAGTCATCATGCAAGACTGTTATGCCACCTTCCCAAAACCCCTGCTGCAGTGAGTCTTCCAGCTCTCAAGGACATATTTTCGTTCGGAAGGGTCCAGAGCAGTCAGAACTGTATGCACAGCTTTGCGAGACAACTGTGCTGTCTGTCAGTCACGAGGAGAGGAAGACAAAGCGGCCTGGTTTACAGCTGTTTGGTGATCATGACTACTGTCAGTCTGCTAATTCAAAAACAGAAATACACATTAATCTGTCCCAGGAACTTCAGGATTCCAGACAAGTAGAGCTGAAAGGCTGCTTGCCTGGGCGATGGTGTCAAATTTGTTCTTCTTTTGAAAAACATGACCAGTATGCCAAGAGAGAGACTTCACAGGCAAGCAAGCAGAATTTGCAGTGCAACAACCGGAAACCGCTCCAAGACCAAGAAATCCGGGCTGAACTGAATAAGCACTTTGGTCACCTTAGTCAAGCTTTTTTTGAGGAAGAGACCACTAAGACCAGTGAACTGAGGAACAGCAGTAATTATAGTGGTGAACAATTCTCCAAGCTACCTATTTTTATAAATTCTGGACTAGCAATGGATGGTCTTTTTTATGACAGTGAAGATGAAAATGACAAATTGTGCTGCTCATGGCATGGGACACAAGCCTACTCATTGTTTGACCTGTCGCCTTCTTGCTCATCCCTTAATTCTCCATGCAGAGATTCAGTGTCTCCACCCAAATCCTTGCTTTCAAGATTCCAAAGGATACGTTCTCGATCAAAGTCCTTTCCTCAGCGCAGGTCTTGTCCCCGTTCTCCATATTCCCAATCACGGTCAAGGTCACCGTGGAGTAGATCCTCTTCCAGGTACTCCTGGGGAAGAGGGATGCTAATCGGTAAATCTGTATAGGATGGAATGTGAGATGTGCTCTCATAAGGTTTTTCAGCCTAACCTTTATCAGCAGCTTCCTCAGGGCCAAACTGGTTACAATTCATATGAAATGAAGTTGATGGTAGCTAACTCAGTAATCTATTCCTATCTCACTAAAGAATTTATAGGGAGAGAAAATAAATCATTTAGACAGACAAAAGGAAGTACTTTTTCACACAATGCATAATTATGGAATTCATTACCACAGCATGTGCTGATAGCCAACTAGCTTAATAGTGTTTTTTAAGGTTTTATTTTAAGAATAGATACATCTAATTGCATCAAAGCCAAGTCAAATAGAATCTCCCTGAAAAGAGCCATACTGTGGGAAAACAAGACATGGCTACATTAATGTGGAGCCCTCTTGGTTACACAGTTTTAGAGACAGGATAGTGGGCTAGATGGGCTCTTGGCTGATTCATGTGTTGTTGTTAGATACCTAATTATCATGATAGCCACTGTTGGAGAGAAAAAAAAACTATATAGATTTGGATCACTGTTTTTAAGATGGGGTAGACAACTGGTGGCAGTCAAGATGAGGTTGGACCACAAATCCCATTAAGCATAACCAACTCAGTCAATGGTGAGTGATGATGGGAGTGACATTCCAGGAACATCTGTAGGGCCACCAATTACTCATCCGTTATATAAGATAAATCTGAATGTCCATCTTTCTGACCAAGTCGTGTGTGTGTGTGTGTATATGTATGTGTGTGTGTGTGTTTATTTCTCCTGACAGATCATCTTACTGTTATGAGTCCAGTCATTGTAGATCCTGGGAATATAGAAGTTCTCCCTTATATTCAAGATCACGATCCAGATCACCACATAGTCATAGAGCCAGGTAGCATAGTGTGCCATATTTATGTGTCTCATATTTATGTTTGTTTGCTGCATATAGTAAAAAAACAAATAGTGAGTGTTTATTATTCATTTGTACTTGTGGAAAATTCAGGTGATTCATTTATTGATTAAATTATGTTTCCTAGATATGACAGCTACGAGGAATATCAGCATGAAAGACTGAAGAGGGAAGAATACCGCAAAGAATATGAAAAACGGGAATCTGAAAGGGCCAAACAAAGAGAGAGACAGAGGCAGAAGGCAATTGTAAGTGCCATGTAGCTGACTTTCATTCTAGAATATATTTATTTTTCTTCTACAGATTTTGTGTTTCTACATATATTTTATATGTGTATGTGTTTGTATTATAGATAAACATTTTTAAAAAACTATACTGTCTTTCCTCTGACTTTTCCCTTTGAAAGAAACAAGCGAAATACATATGCTAATCTCTTCACATGGATTTCTTAATAATTGTGATCTCTGATGCTTCAGTGTGCTTTCATTTCAATGCTCACTTTGCCTTTAAAATGTAATATTTTAAAGCTTCTGTAAACCATCACATTCTTCATTCAGTAGCCACTGGAAAATGTATTAGAAAAGGGCTTTGTTATGGATAGTAAGCAGGAAAGAAGCTTAAATTCAGATAACATATGGATGTATAGAAATACATAAATTTTGTACAAAAGAAGAATCATCTGTGATCTGGCCAAAAGCATTGTTTATCCTACCGGTTGATATATCTGTGTTTATCTCAGGGCATATTTGTACTACAAAATTAAACCATTTGTATATCAGGTTTGAGAGTCAGTGTGGTGTAGTAGATAGACTAGGATTCAGGAAACATGGGCTGGGAAGAATACTCTGTTAGAGACTTTTAGCCCCCAGCTCCCTTACAGAATCACTTTCCCAGAGAGAGGAATGACTTTCCAATCCATTTCAGTCTGTGATGAAGATATTACCTTACTGGTCATGATAAGTGAATACAGTGAGAGTTGCAACCTGAGCTGAAAACTTTGTCCACTTACTTCAAAGTAGAAATTATGGTATTTAGCTACATGCTGCAGATTTAACAAAGTGCAATCATATGGAAAGCACTAGGCATAAGGTATTGTGGAGCCATAGAAGGATCACCTTTATGGTCACACACACATACACAGATAGAGAGAAACAAAGTCATATGAAGAAGAAAATGCACCCTCTTTGAATTCTATGGTTTTATGTATCAAGACATAATAAAATGGCTTCTCCATTTTGGCTTTATTTTTGTAAAATAAATCGTGGCACAATGTAATATTTCATGTTCATCTGAGGTTGTATTTACCTAATTTTCAAGACCAGATTATTTTATATAGTAAAAGCCTAAAGAAAGCTTCAGAATTATAATATAATATAATATAATATAATATAATATAATATAATATAATATAATATAATATAATATAATATAATATAATATAATATAATATAATATAATTAATATAATTAATATAATTAATATTAACATCTCAAAGGCATGTATCCATGCATGACTAGAAAAATAAGGTCTTTACTTTTAAAATATCTTTTACATACATACCTTATTGTACATATTGTTCCTATAAAATTATATTATGGAAGAATTGCTTACTATATGGCAACATTGACCATTATGTTCTTCACATGTCAAATATAGCTTGACCTAGATAACATCAGGGACTTTCTGGAGAATCAACAGAAACTGCTTTCCTGACCTTAATTATTCTGCAGCAGTACCTACTAATTAATGAAGCAGAAGTAGGTAGACAAAAGCATGAAGATTAGAGCAATAATTTTACATAGATCTAGGCATGCATGGATTCACTGGCCCAGAACACGTTTGTGAATTTTTAAGAAAGCATTGTTTAAATGTAACCATTTTATTATCAATAGACTTGCATGTTTTAATAGTCTCTTATATTTCGTTAAATCTAATAAATGCATCTTTGCAAGGTTCTGGTGTAATCGGAAGGTGAGGTACTTTGTACTACTACAGAAATCTAACCATGAAAGTAATCTAGAACCAAAGCAGATTTTAATTTTAGTTTTTGGCCCATGGAACCATCATGAGTGTCTCTGCTTTCTGATAGGTTAAGTGTACATATTCTGCCTTTATTCTCAGATGTGAAAAGTGACATGCTGGTGTCTTGATTCGTACTTTGTTTCAGGCAAATCATCCCATAAGTAACATAACGGCCCTGAAAATTTGAAGAGTGTAGCAAAGTTTACTGCTTTAGGAATCTGGCTGTGGAGCCAAGGGTAGGGAATCCAATTCCCTACTGTGCCTTTTGACAGACTCAATGAGCCATATGATCTCTTCCAGCTCTGCATGATGATGCTGATATCTCATATGTGACTGTTGAAAGATTGCACAAACAAATTACAAAATTAGGCATGATCGAGTGGCAAAGTTAGTGCACTGGTCACTATGCAAAAAGTATAACTTGCCAGCCTGCAAAAACCCATGGGAACATGAGGTAGAGGTGGTGTCAGAAAATGATGAAGTGATGATCTTGTGGGATTTCCAGATCCAAACTGATAGACCTGTTGAACATAATACACCGGACATAGTGGTAATAGAACAAAGAAATGTGTGGTGTCTGGATCATTGACATTCCATTGGATGCCAGAGTTGAAAATAAATAATTGGAAAAATTAACAAAATGCGATGACGTGGCAATTAAAACATCTTGCTTGTGGATGAAACATACTTCAGTGGTACCTGTAGTCATTGGGGCTTCGGGGACAATATCAAGAAATTTCACACAGAAGCAGTTGCAGATCTCAGAAATAACATCAACAGAGCTATAAAAAACCAACAAAAAACCCAGCAATATTAGGAACAGCACATATACTACATCAGTCTAGAAGAGATACTTAGATTTTTGATTAAAACTTGAATCTGTTATATAATTCCGTTAATGCTTTTATAATTTTGATTAACTGTGTGTGGCATTTTTAATAATAATATATTAAATTGCAGGGAACATTTACACACCTGGGGTGGCAAGGAATGTGGTTATTTCCCACACAATTGTTTCTGCATCCAGATGTGGATGTACCCATGTTGTCAATTTTTCCTATATAATTTTTCCATTTTGAACAATAATGTGCTGAAATGGAGCAAAATATTGGAATGGCAACATGGAGGTCCTACTAAGATGCTAGAAGACTATTAACCAGCCCTTTAGAAACAAGATGCTTTAAGAGCTAAACTCAGCATGATGCAGCAGGTACTTGCATGCATTTCCCTGGGTTTTCTTTTTAATTTTACTCATTTTATTGAGTATTTCAGGGTTAGGGTGAGCATGATCAGAACCATGTCACTGGAAGAGGAGGGATCATACCATGTATCCTCTGATCCAGCAGGACCCTCTTTTTGTCCTTAGGTGAAAAAGATGGAAAACAAAATGTTACATAAACAAAACCCTGGATTACTTATGTGCCTTAGCTGTTTTAATAATAAAATTGATCTCATTGTTTAAACTTAGTGCTACACTTAGCCTTGAATTTCTTCTGTTCATCCTAATAAATGCCTGCGCCCATGTAAGAGAGGCTACAAAGAAAGCATTTGTAATCCTGCAAGAATTATGAAAACACCAAGCTTATGCCCGAGTCAAAAAGCACAGTAGGACTTCCCAATACTTAGGCACGATGGCATGTCATTTAGAGGAATAGTATAATCTCTTGCTGTACTTGGATATTGAGGGACATATGGTACATTTCAGTTTAAAATTTGAATTTCTGTGATTTGGTCGTTTTTGCTTACTCCCTTAATTGTACTTTACTAAGCTTTTTTTAAATGGTTCCATTTTAGCAAGGTTGCCTCTCCTTCCCTAAAAAGAGAGGAAACAGGGGAATAAAAGCCAAAAATAATCACAGTCATGACAACTCTCATAGGAGCATAGGTGGTATTTATTCTCATCACATAGCTCTATTATGTTTTCGGCATTGGTGTGTGAAGCATTATGGTTCCCCCCCCCACGTCCAATCTATATATAATATTTGAAACACAGTGTATTAGGAAGTCTGCTGTTATGTTATGCTCCATCTGGTCGGCCATTTAGGTTCAATAGCTAGTGTCAACCAAATTGTTTCTTATCAAGTGTTTCAGCACAGTAACATTTTTATTTTGGTAAGATATTCTGAGGGAAAACGTATACTGTGCATACCAGTCCTGTCTTTTTCCAGATTTATTCCTCTCAACCCAAAGCAAGGGCACTGAGAATAAATACAGCTTAAAATATGGGGGACCATACATGCATGGTGTTATTCTCGACCAAGGTAGTTTTTCCCCAGGCAAAAGGAAAGAGTGATGATTACAGATTCAGAAGTCTAAATCCATTTGCTGGCCCCAGCTATAGTAAACCCACTGAAGTGAGCCAACACCTATGTACGTCCCATTAATTTACTAGGTCTAGTCCAACTGTTTGACAAAGTCCAAATTGGATTGGATATAGGCCAATATGAAGCAGACTTTTCTTTAAGCAGGCTGTGGGTACACAGTGCTCATCCTGTTCCAGGCTGCAAACAATAAAAGGGATAACACCATGTATACAAAAGTCTGCCCTTGAATGCTAGCATCAGTAGATACAAAGCCCTATTAGTGTAAGTAGAAAAGGAGTAGAAAAAGCAAAATGTTGGAGAGTAGCTGGTCAAGTAACTTAGTAATGGGCAAGAAAGCTCCCCCCTCCCATGACCTGAAAGGGAGCAACTTCACTGCTACTACCGTGTTTCCCCGAAAATAAGACAGAGTCTTATACAGTGGTACCTCGCTTAACGAGCACACCAGTTAATGACAAAATTGCATAGCGATTTGGTTTTTGTGATCGCAAAAGTGATCGCATTGCGATGATTTAAATGGGAAAATATTGCTTTGTGGTGATTGGTAAGCTGTTTCGCTTACCGATTTTCGCATAGCGATGTTTTCCCAACAGCTGATCAGCGGTTCCAAAATGGCCACTGGGTAAAAAACATGGACACCTGCTGTGTTTTGGGATGGATTCCTCGCATACCAGGCAGCGAAAATGGCCGCTATATGGAGGATTTTCGCTTAAAGGTAAGTTTTTTGCCCATAGGAACACATTGAAGGGGTTTCAGTGCATTCCTATGGGCTTTTAAAAATCGCTTAGCGATGTTTTCAGTTAGCGGCGATTTTTGCTGCACCAATTAACATCGCTAAGTGAGGCACCACTGTATTAATTTTTGCTCCAAAAACCACATTAGGGCTTATTTTCAGGGGATGTTTAATTTTTTCCTGTGCAACAATCTACATTTATTCAAATATAGTCATGTCATCTTCTTCTGGTTGCTGCACAAAGGTGGAGGGCAGGGTTTCACTTAACTGGGGCCTATTTTTGGGGTACGGCTTATATTACGAGCATCCTGAAAAATCATAGTAGGGCTTATTTTCAGGTTAGGTCTTATTTTTGGGAAACGTGGTATGTCGTTAGCCTAATAATCTGGGTGTGGCCAATGGTGCCACTGGGCTGACCAGTATATACTGATGAATGGGTGAATGACATGCCTATTATTTATAAGTCCCAGTTCTTTACTATGAAAAGAGTCTTTGATTTAATTGATTTGTTTATGAAAAAAAATTCATGTGTTGCTTCTGTTCAGATATCTGAAGTGGCTTACAGGATAGATAATTAAAATGGTTTAAAAATACAAAATTAAAGAAGGTCCACTCTTGTGGATGTTTCATGTAACAGTGTTGCTTTTTAAAAATCACACCTCAAAAACTCCTTCCCTGGATTTGGCACAGAGCAAGAGCAGGCTTTTTCCTACATCCCTGCCAAATTTGGTGCTGATCCAAGGTCCAGTTTCATAGTTAAAATCTTTTGTTTGGGACATTCCTATCTTTTGATTTGCCTTATAGAATAGTTTCTGCTTCTAAGAGCATAATGTAAACAATAAGTGTCTAAACAGCCATGTATATTTGAAAAAAAAGCATGTTAAAAATCTTTTGCACTCTGCAAATCTTGACTTTGATACTATGTGCAGTGTACTGTATGTTGAAGCATGCCAAATAGACATTTCCTTTGGCCATAGTATGTTTTTGTTATGTTACATATGATGGTGGCTCTGCTTTCTCTGATTAGAGACTTATTTGGGTTTGCTGTCAAGTCTATAAATCACCAGAATTATTTATACATTTATACAGAATCACACTATGTGTACTGTATGTTGAAGCATGCCAAATAGACATTTCCTTTGGCCATAGTATGTTTTTGTTATGTTACATATGATGGTGGCTCTGCTTTCTCTGATTAGAGACTTATTTGGGTTTGCTGTCAAGTCTATAAATCACCAGAATTATTTATACATTTATACATAATCACAATTCATGATAATTCACATGGAAATGATGTGCTCCTCTTCACCAACAGGAAGAACAACGTGTAATTTATATTGGTAAAATTGGCCCTGACACAAGCCGAACAGAACTGAGGGACCGGTTTGAAATATTTGGTGAAATTGAGGAGTGCACAGTAAATCTACAAGATAATGGGTAAATGCCTTTTGAGATTCTTCATTGTTGTATTTTTAAGTGAAAGAAAGAAAGAAAGAAAGAAAGAAAGAAAGAAAGAAAGAAAGAAAGAAAGAAAGAAACTATGGTAATAATAATTGCTCCTAAAATTATGATGCTTGTCAAGCAGTGGTACTGAAAAGTTTCTCTCCCAGAAATAAGTAGGTACCTGGCTGACAGGACTATCATGCTCAGGTATTGATATGACAGGTTTGAATATTTGTGCTATTTCACCTCATTGGAACTCCTGTTACTTTTTTTAAAGGATGTAGCAACTTTGATGTCTATTAGCACTTTTTAATTCTTATTCATAATCATGTGTTTCTTCTTGATTACAGAGATAGCTATGGTTTCATCACTTACCGCTACACTTGTGATGCTTTTGCTGCTCTAGAAAATGGATACACTCTACGCAGGTCCAATGAGCCTGACTTTGAGCTGTATTTTTGTGGACAAAAGCAGTTTTACAAGTCCAACTATGCAGACTTAGGTATGGCATTTGCTGCTTGATAATTGCAGTACCTATAACTTTGATGTATCAAAGAGCTTTCTAATTTTCAAGTTGAACCCACTCCCCAGATTTTTAAAAGTCTTATTTGAAAATTAGCTTTAAATACTTCAAATCTATTTTCTGAACAATATTCAGGTATTTCTAATTACATGGAATTAGTGTACAGATGAAGTAGGCCTAGTTTTGCTTGTGGTGGAGTATTGCAACATTGCTTCTTGACTAGCACAAATCCAAATGCAATATGGGCTAAACACTAGAGCAATGAATGCAGTTTAGCACATTTTTTAAAATCAATTGTGAAGAGAAACTTAATGCTATCTCTCTATATTCTCACCACCTTGAAATTTTATGAGATCTGTGTTACCCCATCTCTGCTTAACAGAGAGCATCATATTTTTCTGACTAAAAAAAGGGGGGGAGAGGTAAAGAGAGATCTATTTATAGTCTTTCTTTATAGACTATGACCAAAATTATGTTGCTCAGCATAGTAAATTGCACTAGAATGGGCCCATTTAATCAATGGGGATACTCTTACAAAGGTTCTGCTTATTCAAGTGAACCGACTCTAAGTATGACTCACTTTAGCATAGTAAGCCAATTGAATCAATGGAACCTTTGGAGGAGTTGGCTCTCTAAATTGGTTCAATAGGCCTACTTCTGTACATTTTTACTGCACCAGGCAAGAGGATTTCAGCCAATATAGTGTACAGTGTTTTTTTTAAGTTAATAACTGAAGTCAATAAAATTTCTACATAATGCCATCCATCTGTGTGTCTCCAATTTTTTATGCCCTGCCCTCTCCTTCGTGCATTGCAGGGAATGAATAGAAATACTATATTTTCTCTAACCAATTGATGTCTTCTCAGAGCCTAAATGATCATGGCGATATGCATTGTTCAAAATGAATATGCTATAATTCACTTCACTGGCTAAATAGATAGTGTAAAGCTGCAGAAAGGCAGCTGACTGCTAGAGAGATAGAGCTACAGTGATGAAAATATAAAAGGTGGCAAATCATTTGTTCAAACACTAGCAGATAAAACCAGTAAAGATGGATTGAAGTCTTGACTTGATTTGACTTATCTTCCACATTGATGAAGTCAGGGGTGTTTCTAGTATCTTGAAACATCTGGGGTATAAAATAAGCTGCCTTAAAAAGACTTCCTTGAACATTATTCATCACTGAGAGTGGGCTCTTCAAGAGCCTTCCATGTCTGCTCAAACCATTTCCTTAGCAAAATGTCATTATATCCTTATGGGTTTTTATCTTAGAGATACTTGTGCCTTTATTTTATGAAAAAAAATATTGATGTGGGGATAATTTGATGGATTTGCTTCATGAGATTGCAGTTGTAGAAAGGACAGTAATAATAAAGAATGAATTAAGAGGAATTGGAGGCAATGATATTGAGACAAGGCTTTAAATCATAAATCAATGTATCACAGGGAAAAGCAGCTAGAAATATTTAATTTATCAAATTATTAAGTAGCATGTAAATGACATTTAAAATGTATAAAATATATTTTGGCGAGAGAAAACTTGTTTGTGAGTCTGTCTTCGAAGTCATCAGAATGTAGAGTCGCTATATATGGTAATTATGAACTCACAAATATTTAGAAAAATGTTATCTATATGAATTGCACTAAGAACAATTTGATCACTAAGATGTGTTAAGCAAAATTTCAGGATTTCACCCTTCTGCTCGAGTTATAGGCACCTGTGGTTTCATGTCTTCACCCATGCTTGTTCCTGGAGTTATAGGGCTGTGGGAGGAAGCTACAGCATGGTCTCCTGCCAGGTGGCCTTAATACTTTGGTATGACATGGTGTGGAAGGAGCAGTATACATCGTAGTAAATGTCTCACATAGCTAAAAATAAATAAAATAGCCCGAAAAACCACAACAACCATAAAATACTATTGTTTGCATTCTGTACATGACAGGCATAGTGAATATATATGGGTGTTTAGGTTGGTCTTCAGATGTTAAGATGTCTAGTGGCAACAATGCTAGAAAACAGAGAAGATTAGAAAATGGAATTTTTACTCCAGTTCTAAATCCTTTAATAAACCCGTTCATTTTTCCAAACAAAGTAACTACAAGTCCTTGAAGAGAAAAAAGTACCCTAATTTAGTTTGTTAGTCTTCAAACCTTGGATTAAGGTTAATAGACGTACTCAATATAACAGATACATTTGCTTAGGCAAGAACCAAATATAAAGAATTTGCATGAAACTAATTAGAGTTATCTGAAGCATATTTAGAAGCTTGTGGATGTCAGTCCATTACCAAAACCCCCAAAGTTTTATGTATATTAGTCCATCTGAGGAGGATCCCTAAATATATCAAAAATATTTTTCCCCTTCTAGATTCAAATTCAGACGATTTTGATCCTACTTCTACTAAGAGCAAGTATGACTCCATGGATTTTGACAGTTTACTTAAAGAGGCGCAACGCAGCTTGCGGAGGTAATGTGCAACATGGCTAAGAATAACAGAGGGATGGCTAATACCTCATGGACATTACGTCCTTCAATAATGGACAATGAAGAAGTCATGCTTACAATTTCTCCTACTCCTCACTCTCTGTAAAAAAACATGGTTTACATGGACACAGCTGCTTGAAGAAATAAAGAGGCAAGATGGGACTAGTGTGAGCATTTGTGAACCCCTGGGTCTCAACTTTGCCCTCCCAGGGTGAAGAGGATGTGGGTTTTAATCTTTGTAGAGAATGTCAAGTGGGAACCACTTGAAATGGCAGCAGTTCCATAGAGATACATTAAAACAACAAGAACTTTTTTTTAAAAAGTGTACATACGACATTTTCAAGCAAAGCAAATTCAAACTTTAGCTGCTGACATCTGAGACACACTGCAGTTTTTGTTCATATTAGTTTCTTTAAAAAAAGTTCCTTCTCACACCGTGTTGTTTTCATATGATGACAATCCTGAAGAAAACTACAGATCCTGCAAAACACACCATCTCCTGTTGTGCTTTTCTCCTGAAGGCAAGAAAAATGTGGAAGGATCGTAAACTTCCATAGCTTTCTAAAGCTTTGTCTTTTTAATTGTGTTATCCCTGCCAGTGTCCAAATGTTTTATCTAACATAGAGAAATTTTAAGGCTGTGCTTATTAATCAGCATATTTAGTGGTTCTTTTCCTTTGGTGAGCCAACATGATGTTACAGTACAAAAGAATTGAGGCAACTATTCAAGCGATGGGAGTTGGATGTACAGTTAGTTTATTTACTACATTCAAGAATGTAGTCAAGTATTTACAGATGTTAAATGGAGAATTTTTATTTTGTGTACATACAGTATGACGAAACAATGCTCTTTTTTGTTACAGCTATGCACTGTAAATGCAGCGTTCTTTTAAAAATTGCTGAATTTTTCTTAATCAAAAATATTCAAATGTAATTATATGAGGCAAAACAATATTGTACACTAACATATTCAGAAAGCTGAACTTATGCTTATATATATTTGATTGTAAAAAAAAAGAGAGATAAGTGTGGGAGTGCCTGTGTGTACGTGTGTGTGCTGAGTGCAAAAATATTGATGCTTTACGCACATCATCCACCCTTCTTTAATAATTTATCTAATAACATTAACCAGAATTCATCCAAAGTTAAGAACTGCTCAGGTCTCTTTTATTAGCCTGTCTGGAATAGTTGCCCCTGCCCTTTAGCATGCCTGGAAATGTCTCCATCAGTGCTTTTCCGTCAGCGATGTGTCACAGTGTGCCAGGTGACAGAACTACTTACATCTGAAGAGCACTGATATACATTTCCCATCAACATGGTTATAAGGTATGGTGGTTGTCTGTCAGAATATTAGACATTCTTCACTTAGTAGAAAATGTGTCACCAGCATAGAAATCTAGTTCAGGAGAGAGAGAGAGAGGGGATATTAAAATCATGTGACCTCCTGACGGAACTCCCAAGTTGGACAGTTTCCTGCTTTGCTTGCCAGAAGGCTCACAGGTTTCTGTGAAGAACATGAGGTTGATCATCTGTTTGTAATCAGAGTTTGCTTTAACTATGATATGCAGTTTACTAAAAAGGCTGTCCTGTGGTTCCCAAGTTTACTAGTGCCTGGTTAGAAGTGGTGAAATTACTGGATAAGAAAACTCAGGAGAGTTCCTGGAAAATCATTTCTGCTTATTGATAGGAATGTTAGGAAATAAGTTTTTATTAACTTTTGGCCAACTGGCAAAATGTATGTTGATAGGTTCTCCGCTTACTGTCTAGCCAGCAGGTATAGGTGTTAACAAGAACTGTCAAAGAAACTGTCAGTTGTAGCAACAAACCTTCCTTTCTGGGTAGTGTGTGCATAAGAGGGGCTGAAGTTTACACTACACTTTACACAAAGTAAACTTTTGCCAAAGCAAAAGACATAAAACTGGTAAATTTGGCTCCACTGAAGAGATGGCAGGTGACAGCTAAGGGTGCAACATGGAGAGAAGGGATGGGCAACAAAGGAGATTATCCATTGACCTTCCTAGCCCTGTATCTTTAGCACACTTCAGAGGGAAAATCAAGCAGGCACATAAACCCCTCTTTTTGAATTCAGTGGGATTTAAGACCACAGAGCTGTCCATACATGCTAGAAGCAAGCCTAATTGAACTCAGACGTACTTTTGAGTAAGTGTACATTAGAACTACATCGTAAGTGGACTTAACTTTGGCTGGATCACGCCATTTGTCAAGAACTATTTTAGCCAACTAGGCTATAAAATATCCTTTGTAATATTTTTTTCCACATTTTTTTGTTTGCATCTCTTTCTTTAACTGTTTTATATGCACAAAATTTATTAAAGGGGAGGGGAGAGATTTTTCTCATTTGAAAGTTTTTCTAGGAGATATAATTTTATGTAAAGCTTCTTAAATGGGTGATCATTAAGAAGTGTTTTTATTTTATGTACTGATGATAGTTTTTGGATCTTGGAAGTCACAACCCTTTTTTAAAATTATGCTTTGTTTTAATTCTTGTGACTTTTGATTTGATAAAGGAAAATTGTAGTACAGAGCACACGTACAGTTTTTACAATAGTTCTTTGTGTCTGAGCACTGTTCTTGAAGCCAGTAATCTTTTCATTGGCAGAGTTCAATGATTATCTATGATTTTAAAATATATGCATCCTGTATAAACACTAATTCTTCATTCCTTTGTTTACTTAAAGATACATATTTATTGGTTGCAATTAACCTATTTATTATAAATAATGAGGTGACTAAAATAATAAAAAGGCCAGTGGAAATTTTATATCTAGGATGCATGCTGGTTGTAAGGTTGCTAAATGTATTTTTGTTTGATGGGGGGGGGAACAGCCTTCTTTCCAGCAGCAGTGACTCTTTTCCTCCTCTTATTATTATTATTTAACTATGCACTATTATGGCCTTAGAGGTGCCCATGACATTGTGGGAGCCTTCATAATGTATCAGAAATTGTCGTATCTATTTGCAGGTTTATGGGCTGGCACAGTGCAAGCCGATAAAATGGACTAACTTGCACAGCCATATGACTGATATCTTGTCCATTTAAGTCATTCCTGTCATTTACCCTGTTGGATTTTAATTCAGGCATCCGTTGCAAGGTTGTTACTTTTGTCACGTTTTTCTATCGGAGTGTTTGGTGCTTGTTTACAGAATCATAAGAAATTCCCCAGAGCGCTTAAGGCTTTAAGAATGTATATAAAACCTCTCAGTTTGCCCAAACCAATTTTTTTTAATGCCATAGGGAGCATAAGGAAGCCTTTCTACAGGCAAAGCACTCTGCGTGGAGAATCCCAAAAGGGCTGAGCAAAGCCCTTGTCTCCACCTGCCTACACATGAGATAGCTCAAGCATTATCTGGCCCGTGTGCCCAGATCGCCAGCTAGCCAGCTCTCCTGCTCCATAGTTCAAAGAATAAATGACTTCAAGCAAAGAATGGATTTGATGCAGGGATTAGAGACATTTCCATTTACCCACATGCCCCCCTCTGCTTTACAGAGTATGTACAGGAAGGCAACAGGGCAATAGCTCTCCTGAGCCTCACTGGGTCCACTGCATGAGGTATAGGGCACCCACAGGGAATGTGGTCATGCCAGTGTACCCGTCTGCACACTGGGGATTAAGCTGGCAGATTATTGCTGCAAATGATCGGCAATAATTTGCCAGTTTAAACAATCCCCAGCCTGCAGATGAGTACACAAGGAAGTTAGTGGAATACACAGTCAGGCTTTTGTACAAGCTCTTTAGTGCAGTACTGTCAGGTATGTAGAAGGGAAGGAAGCCAAGCTCCACTCCTGTTCGCAGGTATATTCAAGTGGAGATGGGTAGTTGAAACAGCACATCTCTTTTTGTACTTGGGAATTTATTTATACTCAAGCACAAATATAAATGCATAAATATTGTACTAAATGACCACTCTTTAAATGTCATGACAGCGGAATTGGTTCCTAGGGTGTTTTTTTTTTTTTTAAAGCTAAGTTCATCTTCATGTGCATGCATATACAACATCTGAAAGCAACTCTGCAAGATGCAGTGGGTGGACTGGAACCATGTGACTTGGGGCCATTACTTGCATCTTTCCTGCAAGTAAGACAGAACAAAAGAAAGTTCTGTAATGTAAGAGCAGGACCATCTTTAGCTTACCCTTCAGATGTTTAGGCATAGAAGGATGGAGTTCGCTATGTGATCTGCCTGTTCAAACAGGCTGGTTAATTTTCTAGGCATGACTAGAGTTCAAAAAGTTACTTTCAAAAAGTAATTAGTTGCAATTACTAGTTTTTGACCCCTCCATAGCTACCTATTTTAAAAGTAACTTTCCTGTTTTTCAAACACAGCTAGTTACTTTCTAGTTACCTGAAAAAAAATCAGAATGCTACGAGCTGCTGGCTTGTTATACAAAACACACTTTCCTCCTATACACTTAATCACCATTTCAGCACATAAAACAACACAATGTAAAGCATGATCCTAGTGGCAAAAGGATAGAATAGGTTTGTTGGGCCAACATAAAATTCTGTGTATGATTTCTTGCCAGGAATCATATGGTAAGATAACAAGTCTGATGCCTTCCAGTAGGAGTGTGTGGACTATCATATGTACCTTATGAGAGGCATAAGGTGATTACACCATTCACTGAAGTAAGGCTTTTTTTCCTCTCCCAAGGGTTGCCCTAAGTCAAAATTGATTATGATCATTAAAGTAGGCAAATTGTAGCTGGAGGGTGGAAAGGAAAGGAAGACTGTTTTGAGCATTGAACTTCCATCAAAAACTCAGGTGTAACTTGACCAGTCAAGGCCCAATTAATCTGTGGTGGGCAAACAGACCATGATCCCCCTTTATGTCCTCTATTCAGAGAGATGTGCTACCCCTGCATTCATTTCTGGTGAGCCACAGCTAGCAGGGCTACATATGGGTAGGAAAGGAATTTCCATGTGAGAGGCTTTGCCTATCACGGTTCCATTGGCTCCCATACTGATTATGATCTGAGTAAAACAGGGATGGTATAAGTGGAGTGCACTTAAAGCTGTTTGGCATTCATAATTGTTCTTCCCTTCTACCCTGCAAAATGTAGGAAAACTGATTTCATCTCATGATCTGTGTAGCTATGTCGGAGAGCTGCCCTCATTTTATCACCAGCATATTGTGTTCCAGTAGGTTTTACTGTGTCTTGTTCCATGCTCTCTCTCTTTGACTTTGTATTCTTGAGTAGTTAGCAATAAAAAGAGAACTTTTTCACAAGTTCTGTTTTGCATACTGAAGCACCCTTTTGATCTGACTAATTCTTGCCATTCATTGCTTTGTAGGTTGAAGAAACAGGTATTTTAACTTTTGATTGTGTGAATGCCAAACTAAACGTTTACAGCTTTTTTTCTTTTTGGATTTTGAGTGTCTTCTATTGTAAAGAGAAAAAAAATTAAAGCAATAAATTATTTTTTAAGAAATCAGTATTTAGTACATCATGTGTTCATGTGTTGAAGGACAAGAAACATTGCTCATCTTTGTGTTTCAATTTAGTAACTATGTTTGAAATACATTCACTTTGCCCTGGATGGCTGACACAAAGAAAAATGTGTGTGTGCATGTGTGTGTGTGTGTGCTCCCTCCCCTTTTCTTCCAAACAGCTGCTATATCATGGGCAGATTTTATTTATTTATTTTTCTCTCCAGCTGCTCTAAGGAGTATATTTCTGGGAATGGTTCTTTCTTTGCAAATATCAGAACATGTATTAAATTAATGTAATTGTATGGTTGCTAAGATCTGTGCATAGTAAGATTTTTTTTGCTGGATTTTGTACCAAATGTGTCATCATTGCATTGTATGCATATTCAGATTGACATTTCTGCACAACCAGTTCTCCATAAGGAAGAAAGAACAGAGCTGGACTGGAATATACCTTCTTGAGTAAACTTTGTGGGTAGTCCATCAAAATGAATTGTCAAGTCCTTCTGTTCTTCAAAAAGACAGTTAATATTAGCCCATGTCCCACATTGCCAAATTGTAGCATAGATCTGTATGTCTTTTCAATGAAGATGTTTTACCTTTGCTGTCATGCTGTGGTAAATACGATATGTAGTAAGAGAACCGGTGCTTAGAAACAACAGCCTTTCAATACAGTATAACACAATAATTCCTGTGTGAGCGGGAAAGAATGGTCAGAATCCATACAGAGGAACCCAAAATTGGGGAAGAAATATAGCAGTTGGTCCAAAACGTCTCCAAACTGCTGATGGCCTGGCATCACGGACAGCAACAGGCAAAGAGTGGCTTGTGCTGTTGTTGAAATGTTGGGTTAATTTAGTACGAATAAAACTTTCATATCTCTCTAGTTGTGAGCTTCCAGTAGGCAACAATTATGTGTCCTTTTTGAACAGCAGTAATGAGAACGCCAGTCACTGTCGTATACGATCTGATCTATAAATGATCTATAATAGCTGAATAATGTGATTATTATAACTTTCTAACGGTGTGAAACTACTGATCTGTGTAGTGCATATGAACTGCTGGATAGCTCAGTGGTTTAGGTCTCTGGCACCAGAGCCAGAGGTTGGGAGTTCAATTCCCCACTGTGCCTCCTTGACAGGGGCTGGATTCAGTAATCCATAGTGTCCCTTCCAGCTCTGCAGTTCAAAGATAATGATGATGATGATACAGTAGCAAGAAAGGGACAGAAACAATGTGCAACAAGGTAGACTGCTCTATTAGGTTAACCCTACATGGGTATTCTATTTTCCATCTCTAAATGTACTCTTGGTGCAACCATTTTCAGTGCTGTCTCCCCCCTTAAAGAAAATAAAACATTTCAATCTTCTGTCTCACCATCACCACTGAGTGGAAAAGGCTGACCCGTCATGACGGGTTCCATTGGTGTTGTCAACATTCAGACTGCCTTTTGGTATATAAAGCTTGGCATCCTTTTTCCTGTTGGTATTGTGAGCACAATATTGTGCAGCAATATTGGGCCATTTCCTGGCTTTTTGAATCATTGATACAGAAGCACGATATCCCACATGCATAAACTGGAAGTTTTTTGAAGAGTTGGATTCCCTGGCTTTTTAAAACAGAAGTTCAAATATACATACACTACATACAAATTTTAACAGAAATTTCCTTCATATAGAATTGCTCACTGCTAAAGGATTCCAGAAGAGGAGCACATGATCTGCACTATGCAGGACACGCAAAAATGGGCTCAAGTTAAAGGAAGCCAGATTTCGGTTGAATATCAGGAAAAACGTCCTAACTGTTAGAGCACTATGACAGCGGAATGAGTTACCTTGGGAGTTGGTGAGTGCTCCAACACTGGAGGCATTCAAGAAAAATTTGGATAATCACCTGGTAGATTGCTGTGATTGCATTCCTGCGTTGAGCAGGGGGTTGGACTTGATAGCCTTATAGACCTCTTCCAACTTCATTTTTCTATGATTCTATAGTTACTGGGAGAAAGCAGAAGCAAGAAAAATTTGGATATAGCTGTAGTCCTTCTGTGCTAAAATATTTTGAAGGGCTTTTTTCAACTTAATGAAGCAAGAGTGTAAATAGGTACAACACATACAATAGAGAAACATTCATACCCTTTAACTTCTTGGGTAAATTAGTGTTGCTATGCTCGCTCTGCAGAATGCAGACTGGAAAACTACATTCCAATATTCAGTCCCCTTCCTTGGGATAGGCAACCTGAGAAAGAAAAACTATATTGGACCAAAACCTCTAGGTGCATGTTGTGGATGGGTGGGTGTTTTCCAAAAATATGTCCCTTTGCCTTTTGAAATAAAAAAGGAAGAAGTTGGAATTAGCAAAGAACATCACTAGATTCTTTCCAAATTAAAAGAGGGGGGCTGGGACTAACCATTCTCATTCAAGATAGATAAGATTAATCTTTTCAATGTATACAATATTTTTAAAATCTGCGGAGAGAAAAGGTTGCTGGTATCTGCACGGGGGGCAGTTTTATTTTGAAGAAGTCAAAGCATGAAAACCTTTTGCCCAAATGTCCCCAAATTTGGCACACTGCAAGAGCAGACCGATTGCTACATTTGTGCCATATTTGGTGCTGATCTGATATCCAAATTCAAGGTTATATTTTATTTGAGGTGCCCATATTTTTGAGTTGGCTTATGGAATGTTAAATTCTGTTACTACATAGTATTTATTGTTGCACTCTCATGCAGCAATACTAAATGAAGGATCTTGCTGCAGAGGAATCAAAGTGGCTTCTGTAAATGTAAGTCTAACTGATATTCTAGAATTTTTAGAGACTGGTAGCAAAAATGATCCAGTAGATGTAGTTTATCTGGATTTCAAAGAGCTGTTGACAAATGCCTAAACCCAATTGTTAATCCTAAATGGAGTAAATCTACTGAATCACTGGGGCAGTGATAAATCAGTACCTATGTAAGTCATTGATTCAGAACATCTACTTAGGATGTGACAGAGAATGGCTAGCAAGAGATCAGCAAGGCTTGAAGTATGTCACGGACTCCAATATCAGAACTTTCTGATACATCTACTTCTTAAAGTAGATGGCCTTGTATGTGTACTTATGCTAAGAGTGCAAAAAAGGACAGGGAGTAAAATAATCTGAGGAAGAATCAGTGACTTTGCTTCTAAATAATAACCATAATCAACATTGCTACAGTGTTTTTCCAAGCATAAAAAATCACTTCACACACATTACCTTGCAATACTTAAAATAACCCTGTATGATAGGTTAGGGTAATTGTCCTCCTATTGGAGTGGATTGGAGTAGCCAGGATCAATGCTCATTTTCCAAATTTGAACAGTAAGACAGGTACTCTGTTAAAAACTAGCATTATGGATAGTCCTATTCAAATAAAGCCAGCAAGTTACATAAGGATATTCTGAATGCCTTATCAGAATATAAAGGCATCATGTGTCTTTATTACAGGACTTGCCTAGGTTTTATAAGCCAGTGAACACATTTTCCACAATGGCCAGAATCCTACTGGAGATTTATACTGTCATAGATGTAATTGTTTGAACTACAGTAGTGAGTTGCTGCTAATTAATAAACTGATATTCGCATTCCTGCTCATCTGCCTGTCAAGTGACTGTGTGTGGCCAAGAACGCAAGTGGCAACCCATTAATTAGCAGCAAATTACCATGTAGTATATGCAATTATATTTCTTCAGTAGGATTCTGACCAGTGTATAGAATAACCATTACTGTTGTTGGTTTTGTTGTTATCAAGCATAGCCAAAATAACCCACCATATGCTTAACTCTCTGTGCAGCTGAAAGGTATTTAATTTCCCTGGGGGGGGGGAATGTAAGCTTTTTAGGGAGATAGGAGTAAAGCATCTAGGCTTAATTCTAGACCTATCATTATAGGAGCATTGTGGTCTTGATTTGACTTAGAACTAATTAATCTTTGTACATTGCACTCTACTGATGCAAGCTAATATTGTCAACTTACATTCAACATTGATATTCTAGGTTCACAAACACAGTGCTACAAATCAATTTTCCCTACTTTAACAAACAGCAGAAAGTAATAAAGAAGGTCACAAACAGTACACTAGTTCCTTGGAGGTTTGTAACTTCATGATTTAATTTAAACCTCACAAGATTGAATCAAAAGTTGAATTAATCCCTAAGGAAAACAATTCTATACAGATTCCACTGATAGACACCAAGCAATCTATCCTCACTGGGATGTAGCATATTTGTTAATACATTGGGAAAATGAAAATATTCCTCCGGGGGGGGGGAGTAAACATCCCATTCACATCCCAACTTATGGATCTATTTTTCTGCCATAAAATGCTTAGCTCATCAGTTTTTATGGTGTAATACATATTTTCTAAATATGTATAAGCAGTTTCTTCTTGTCTGGGACTACTTGTCTTTGGAAAATTAACTCATTCAATGTCTACATTACATATTGCATCCCATCTAGAGCATCGAAGATATTATTTTATTTACTATTACAATATGACTGTCATGATAAGGGGGTGGTTCTTAAGGGTTGGAAAGTGAGCATTACAGAATGCGTAAGGAATATGTGGCCTTCCAGATGTTATTGAACGTTGCTCCCCACAATGCTAGCAACTTAGCTGTGATATTTTCCAATGTCCCTCAGCTGGGTCACCATTTTCAGTAGTATACAGGAGTTCCTGTCCATGTGTCTGCCCCTACTGCTACTCACCAGACAGCTCGTGTATTTGCTCACACCATTATCTAAATCAGGGGTCAGGGAACTTTTTTACCTTTTACCCTACAAAAAAATTATATACGCCGACATTACCCCTTTGATTCGAAAAGAAGGAAATCATACATTATTTGAATTAAAAATATTATTGAATCTAC